GGCCGCTCCCCGCCGCGAGCCGGGCGGCGGAGCGGGGAGCGCTGCCCTGCGTCACGGGAGGCTGGCGGCCGGCTCCGCCACCCCTCCGGCAGCGGGAGCTGCCCCGCCACAGCCGGGGGCTGCAGGAGCGGCCCCGACACCGACACGGGCACCGCCGCCGGCGCCGCCTCCGTCCTGCGCGAGATTTACGGATTTCAGGGAAAAACCAGACCCCGCCAACCATCGGGAAAGTCGGCCCGGAAAGGAATTGCAAAATCCCGGGATCACCGGGAGGTTGGACGGGGTTTGGGGTCGTTCCCGGCGCTCTGCCGGCGCCCACCGACGGGAAATTTAGGGTGCTTTATCCACAGGAGCCCCGAGAAACATCGCTTTGGATTTATTTCCTCATTGGCAGCCAGGGGTTTTCCTCCCGGAGAGTGAAACCTCGGGATCAGCCTCCCGGAGAGATAAACCCTGCGCGGACATGGCAGAGCCCGGCTCTCGGGCCGGCCGGGATTCACATCCCGGAGGAGCCAGGGGAACGCAGCTCGCCTGACTGGGAATCTTGTTTTTATCCAGGGAATGCCGTTTTTAAACGGGGAATGTTCTTTTTAACCGGGGTGCCGGGATCCGGGGGGGTCACTTGGACATAGGGACATTGGCGTCACCTCGTAAGGGATTTCTTCTCCACCTTTTTTTTTTTCCTTTTTGTTATTATTTTCCTGGGAAAGCGGCCAAGCCGTTTCCCACAGCGCGCGGTGGTGATCCCGGAGCGGGATTGGGGGGGTGTTTTGGCCGGGGGGGTTGCGTTCCGCTGGCTCCCCCCCCGCTCTTCCCGACCCGGGACCGGCCATGGCGTTGAAAGCCAGAGCTCTTTACAACTTCCAGAGCGAAAACAAAGAGGAGATCAGCATCCAGGAGAACGAGGAGCTCGTCATCTTCAGCGAGAACTCCCTGGACGGGTGGTTACAGGGCCAAAACAGCCGTGGGGAGACCGGCCTCTTCCCCGCTTCCTACGTGGAGATCCTCCGCTCCCGCTCGGGCTCCAACTACACGGACTGTTCCAGCAGCCCGGTGGGCTCCCCCGGGCACGATTCCTCCTTGTACTCGGCATCCCCCAACCCCGCCATCTCCTACCAGGGCAGTTTCGAGGATGATGATGACGACGATTGGGATGACTGGGACGACACGTGCACGGTGGTGGAGGAGCCCCGGAGCGCGCCGGGCACCAACGGGCACCCCTCGCCCAGCCTGCCGTACCCCGCGGCCTACGGCCACCACCAGCACGACGGCCACCGGCCCAAGCCGGCGCTGGAGAGGCAGGACAGCATGAGCTCCTCCAAGAGGGGCAGCGTGGTGGGCAGAAACCTCAACCGCTTCTCCTGCTTCGTCCGCTCCGGGGTGGAAGCCTTCATCCTGGGTGACGTGCCCCTGATGTCCAAGATCGCCGAGACCTACTGCATCGAGATGGGCTCCAGAGGCCCGCAGTGGAGGGCCAACCCCCACCCGTTCATCTGCTCCGTGGAGGACCCCACCAAGCAAACCAAGTTCAAGGGCATCAAGAGCTACATCTCCTACAAGCTGACGCCCAGCAACTTCAACTCTCCCGTGTACCGGCGCTACAAGCACTTCGACTGGCTCTACAACCGCCTGCTGCACAAGTTCACGGTGATCTCGGTGCCGCACCTGCCCGAGAAACAGGCCACCGGCCGCTTCGAGGAGGACTTCATCGAGAAGCGCAAGCGGCGGCTGATCCTCTGGATGGAGCACATGACCAGCCACCCCGTCCTCTCCCAGTACGAGGGCTTCCAGCACTTCCTCTGCTGCCGCGACGAGAAGCAGTGGAAGCTGGGCAAACGCCGGGCGGAGAAGGACGAGATGGTGGGCGCCAGCTTCCTCCTCACCATCCAGATTCCCACCGAGCACCAGGACCTGCAGGATGTGGAGGACCGCGTGGATGCCTTCAAGGCCTTCAGCAAGAAGATGGATGACAGCGTCCTGCAGCTGACCAACGTGGCGTCGGAGCTGGTGCGCAAGCACGTGGGGGGCTTCCGGAAGGAGTTCCAGAAGCTGGGCAATGCCTTCCAGGCCATCAGCCACTCCTTCCACATGGACCCTCCCTACAGCTTGGATGCCCTCAACAACGCCATCTCCCACACGGGCAAGACGTACGAGACCGTGGGGGAGATGTTCGCTGAGCAGCCCAAGAATGACCTGTTCCTCATGCTGGACACTCTCTCCTTGTACCAAGGGCTCCTCTCCAACTTCCCGGACATCATCCACCTGCAGAAAGGTAAGGAGGCATTCTTCTCCCCAGGAATGGCCCCATGTGAGTGGGAATGGTGCTGCAAGTGGGGTGGGGATGCAATGAGGAAATCCTTAGTTGGAATGGGTAATGAGGATGGGAATGGGGATGGGAACCACTACCTCTGCCTCTTAGGGGCACGGTGTGGTCCCTGCTGGCACAGCCCTCCAGTCAGCCCAGCCTGGCAGAGTCTGCTGGGGCTGTTGGGTCCAGAGTCTGCCCCAGCGATGCCATGGACTCTGTAACTGCTGCTGGTGCTACCCAAAGCACTGCCAGGGGTGGTCAGCACGGATGTCACTTCCCCCAGACCATGAGAGACATCATCCACCTGCAGAAAGGTAAGAGGCATTCTCCCCAGGAATGGCCCCATGTGAGTGGGAATGGTGCTGCAAGTGGGGTGGGGATGCAATGAGGAAATCCTTAGTTGGAATGGGTAATGAGGATGGGAATGGGGATGGGAACCACTACCTCTGCCTCTTAGGGGCACGGTGTGGTCCCTGCTGGCACAGCCCTCCAGTCAGCCCAGCCTGGCAGAGTCTGCTGGGGCTGTTGGGTCCAGAGTCTGCCCCAGCGATGCCATGGACTCTGTAACTGCTGCTGGTGCTACCCAAAGCACTGCCAGGGGTGGTCAGCACGGATGTCACTTCCCCCAGACCATGAGCACTGCTGCTGTTAGGTCTGGGGTAACCTGCCCTGCACCTCTTGTGCATCCCCACCCACTGCCACTTGTCCCTCCTCATCCTCCCTTCCTGTCAAGGCAGTGGGGGGGTGGCCAGCAGGAATACCAGAGCTTGCTCCCTCAGGGCTGGAACATGGCTGGACATGGCCTTGGGTCAGTCAGAGGGGCCAAGGGGGCCCGGCAGTGGCATAGGGGACACACTGAACCTCTGGGGACAACCAGGGTCACACTTTTCAGGAGTATGTCCCTGCACCTCCAAGCCCAGCAGGAGGGGTTAGCACCCCCAGGGCATCAGAGCTCTTCATGTCCCATTTGTCCTGTTTCCCTGGATTTGGTGGGGTCAGAGAGGGGGAGAAGTGTCTGCTGTTCCCTCCCTGGGGCAGGCAGCAGGCAGGCAGGGCTCGGTGCCCCTTTGCACCCAGGCAGCCAGCAGTGTGGGTGTGGGGCCAAAGTCCACACACACTCCTCCCCGCCCAGCTGCCCGCAGCAGGGAGGGGGCACCCACACCAGAGTCCCCAGAGTCTGGAGGACAGGTTTTCCCCAGGGCCGTTTGTGTCCAAGCGTGCAGGGATGTCTGTGCATCACTCCGCATCCCTGGGGGAGGCTGGGAAGGCAGAGGGCGCAGGGAGGATTCCATCCTGCCCGGGCAGCTTCCCTGCCTTTCCTCGGAGTGTTGTTTACCCACGGAGCGGGGCTGGATCCCGTCCGGAAGCGAGGCCGCGTGGGCAGAGCGGAAGGCAGGATTTGGCCTCCAAACTTTGCCTCTTCCTCCTCCTCCTCCTCCCCTCTGGGAGCAGGGCTGGCGCAGCGGGAGCACTGTAACCCCGGGTCTGGTGCTGCCGGCAAGGGGCAGGGAGAAGGGAAGAAAGCCCAGTGCGGGCCAGATCCTGTTTTTAGTTTTTTAGCCTCTGTTCTAATGAGGGGGAGGAATGCAGGGCTGGAGCCAGGCAGGATTCTTTCGAAACCAAGCTGTAAAAAAACATGGAAGGAGAGGGGAAAACTGGTGTCAGAGCATCAGCTGCCTCTGGGAGTGGGAGATGCTTTCCCAGCTGAGCTCCAGACAGCACCACGTGCCCTTGCCACATCCTGGTTCACTGCTTCCTGGGCTGGGGTCTCCCAGGGCTGCTCCTGACCCCCGTTCATGGAATGGCATGGAATATTTGGAGGGCAGGCTTGGCTGGGGTGCTTCGCTGTGCTAACACTGCCCCACGTCAGCTTTGCACCCCAAGCCTTGAGTCACAGCGCTCCAGGAGCCCCAAACCAGCTATACATGAGGCTGGCTGCCAGGATGGAAAAGGAGCTGGGGATGCCAGAGTCCAGAGGGAAAATGCCCCCAGTCTTTGCCTGCCTGGAGGAGAGGGATGGGTTTGATGGGCAGGGGGAGCTGCAGGCAGATCCCTCCCTTCCACGGGGCAGTCTGTGCCTCTGCTTTGGGGCAGGCCGGTGCCCCAGCACGGGATCAAGCGGGGCTGTGCAGGGAAGGGGCCCGAGGGTGGCACGCATCCCCTGACGCTGCTCCCTGCCCCGCCAGGCGCCTTCGCCAAGGTGAAGGAGAGCCAGCGGATGAGCGACGAGGGCAGGATGGACCAGGAGGAGGCGGACGGGATCCGCAAGCGCTGCCGCGTGGTGGGCTTCGCCCTGCAGGCCGAGATGAACCACTTCCACGAGCGGCGCGTGGCCGACTTCAAGAGGATGATGCAGTCCTACCTGAGGCAGCAGATCGTCTTCTACCAGCGCGTCAGCCAGCAGCTGGAGAAGACGCTGCGCATGTACGACAACCTCTGAGCCTCGTCCCCCTGTGTGTGCCCGCAGCCCCCTGGGCTCCCTGGGGCCGCACGGGAACTCATCACGCTAGTGACCAAATGACTTTGGGCTTTCTGCCCCCTCCCCGGGCTGGCAGGGAGGGGCTCGCCCGCGGGCTGGCCGTGCCACCTCTTCCTTTCTTTCCCTGGGGAGCTCCCACCCTGCCACGGGTCTGGCGGGAGCGTGGGGGTCCACAAGAGGGACAGGTGGAGAGGTGACGGTGCTGGGTCTCTGCCCAGTGATTTTTAGCTTTCTGAACACCCACTCTCCTGGAGCAGGGGTGGGTGCATGCCAGCCCGCTGGGAGAAGAAATCCAAGCGGTCGACATTTTGCACACTAAAAGCTTTTCTGATGGAAAAAAAAAAAGAGAGGAAAAGAGATCTTTATTTGGAAGAGATTTTTTTTGTTTGTTTGTCACAAGATATTTTCAATATTTTCCATTTTTCTGCAGCATTTTTACCGATCAGTTTTTAACTAGATGCACAGAGGCAAAGGGAAATCTCTTTCTCAAGTATGGCTGCTGACTGGGAAAAGGGAGAAAAAAGGAAAAAAAGGGAAAAAAAATAGCCCCACAGCCTTTTCAATAAAATCATTGGTAGAAAAAACACCCACCTCCTTCCCAGAGATGTCTGTGGAAAACAGAGCTGCTCCAGGATCCTTGGGAAGGCTCTGCCTGAGCATCCCCTGGCTTCCAGCCAGCTTTGAACATCCCCGTGCTGTGGGGGGAATGACCCCAGGAGGGGTTCCCACAGCAGCCCCCCTCCTGCTCTCTAAACAGCCCCCCAAGGGGCAGATCCTGCCCCGCTCTGCCCTGGCTGGGACAGTGTGCTGCTGCCTGGGAGACAGCAGGGCTGGCACGGGGGCCTTGTTTTTGAAGGGAAATGGCTGGGATAAATCACAGCGAGGAAAGTTAGGGCCGCCTTGGCCTGGCTCCAAGGATAAAATTAGCCCCGGCATGCAGGCCAGCGGGGTATTGTTAAACTAACAGCGACGCTGGGAATGCTGCGGGCTGCGCTCCATCCTCCCGAGCCCTCCCGGCCCCAGGCTGCAGGGACAGCACTCAGGACAGCCCTGCACACAGCCTCCATCCAGGCAGGACGTGCTTCCTCCTGCATCCCACAGCCAGGGCAGGCCCCTTCACCGTGGCCCCATCCCACCCTGGGTCCATCCCACACCAGTCCCATCCTAGCCCAGCCTCATCCCACCCTCATCCCACATCCTGCCTTGGCTCCATCCTACCCTGTTCCCAGCACGCTCTGGTACCATCCCACCTCAGCTTCATCCCACCCCAATCCCATCCCACCCTAATCCCACCCCAGCCCCATCCCAGCCCCATCCCACCCCAGCTCCATCCCACCCCAATCCCATCCCAGCCCCATCCCATCCCAGCCCTGTTCTAGCCTGGCCACATCCTAGCCTGGCCCTGTTCCACTCTAGTCCCATCCTAGCCAGGCTGCATCCTTACATGGCACCATCCCACTCCATTTCCATCCCAGTCCCATTCCACTCTGGCCCCATCCTATCCCAGCCTCATCCTACTGCAATTCCATCCTACCCTGGCCATGTTCTGCCTTGGCCCTGTCCCACCCTGGTCCCATCCCACCCCAGCCCCATCCTCACCTGACCATATCCTTCCTTGGCACCATCTCACCCCATTCCCTCCTCATCCCAGCCCCGTCCCAGCTCAGCAGCCGTGGGAATGGTGTCTGAGCCTGTGCTAATCCTGCAGGAGTGACAGGTCCCCAGCCCTGCTGGCCATGCTCTGGATGACCATGGTGGCCTTGGCCCCACACTGAGGCCAGAACGTGTCCCTTCCCCCAGCCCTGCTCCCTCAGGAGCACAATGGGCTCTGGGATTGAGCCTGCCACCGCCGTCCCCGGGCTGGCAGCCAGCCCCTGGCACTGCAGGCAGCCTCCAGAGCTGAGCCAACATCCCAGCTCCCCTGCACCTGCCTGGGCAAGGGCATCCCCTGCCTGGGGTGCCCCGTGGAAGCTCAGTCCCTGGGATGTCCTGAAGTTGGGGTGTGCAGCTGGAGCAGGGAGATGTCCCAGTGCCCCAGGAGTTCATCCTCTGCTCTGGTGTCCTGGCATGGGGACAGGGATGGGCTAAGGTCCCTGTGGGCTGCATGCACCCCTTCAGAAGGCCGTGCCTCAGTTTCCCCAAAGGTGGAGCTGTGCTCTCTGTGGTCCTTCAGCTTCCACTAAGGTCTCCCAGCTCCACCATCCACCCTCTCTGTACCCTCATGTCTGGACCACACTCTCAGCACACAGCAAATCCATTGGCTAGAACCCATATTCCACTAGGATTCCTGCCTTTTCCCTCTGCCACCTGGCAGTAGGCAGCTGGGCCTCCACTGCCCATGGGTGGGCATTTCAGAGTCTGCCTTGGCCCGATGGGGGGTTGAGCATCCTGCTGCTGCCCCCCACACCTGTGACAGCATCCTGCAAACGTGCCAAAGGCTGGAGGATAGAACCAGCCCCGAGCATTTGGTGGCTGTCAGAGGGGGCAGGATGATGGTGGGGGGCAGTCTGGGGGTGCACACAGTGCTGCACATGCCCCAGCAGTGTCTGTCACTGCCTTTGCTATCTGTGACACAGGCTGTTCCCTGCTCCCACGAGAGAAAAAAGCCAGGGCATAGAGGGCTGAGAGGAAGCACCGGGAACATAGAGCAGATCCGTTTCCTCCTCCCACTTCCCAAGGCTGCTCCCGCGTGGGAAAGCCAAGGCTGAGGCCCTGTGTGAGTCCCATCAGTGCTGACAGCAGGGTTGGGAGGTGGCAGCAACGGTGGTGGCTGGAGCATCCTCCCTGCAGAGCACTGCAGCCAGCACCAGAGAGCCCGTGGCTGCCTCCAGTCCTGCCTGTGGCTTCCCTTGTCTTGCTGCTTCTCTTTGGGCCTCCCTCCACCATGGGAACAAAACCTGGCATCCTTGTTCTGAGCTCTGGGAGCACAGGGTTTGTGCGTGGGCCAGGCTGCCGGGCTGTAGGGACCACCAGTGCATGCATCCCGAGCCCAGCAAGATGCTCCAGGGTGGGCAGAATCAGCTGGGCTCCCGCAGGGACCGGCCACACTGCTGGAGGGCGAAGGATGGGACAGGCAGAGCTGCTGATCAGCCCTGTCAGCCACACGGATACACCCACCAGGGCTCAGTGATTCGGGATCAGCCACCAAAGGAGCGCAGTGACCCAACCCAGCTCCTCCCAGGCGAGCGCAGGGTGCAGCTGCTGCAGGGGCAGGACGGGGCTTGCTGGGCACGCCACGCTGCCGGCACACGCTGGCACGGGGTGGAGAGGCACAGCTGCCAACGGGGAGCAGGGAGCACCCCTGGGGGAGCGGGGAGAAGTCCTGCCTGCCCATTAGGGTCAGCAGCAGCTCGGGGGAGGGAGCCAAGTGGAGTTTCAGTGCCACCCCCACCGTGCTGGGAGGTGGGTGTGTGCCCGCCTAGAGGAGTGATTCCGGGCGGATGCAGGTGGGTGGACACAGGCATGGATCAGGGCAGAGAGAGACAGCTCAGCCTGCCAGCTCCAATCTTTTAATTGCTGTGCTTCTCAAATATTTCCGAAGCGTGACCCTGAGTTGGCTCCTCCAGGCAAAGATGCAAGCACCAGCTGGTTCCCTTGAGCACCCCTGTATTCCCTTGGCTGTGGATAAAATTTCCCCTGCTCCCAGCCCAGGGAAATTATGGTGGATCAGTGGTGACTGTTTTAGGGAGCAAGCTGGAAATCGGCTCTAGTGGGGGTGTGACCCAACCCAGCTCCTCCCATGAGAGTGAACCTCCAGGTTCCCCCTGCTAGGCACAGCCAGGGTGATGCTCAGGTGGGACCCTGTCCCATCTGTCTGTGCCAGCCCGGATTCCCTCTCTCCAGTCCCTGGGAAGGTGCTGAGCGTGGGGAGGTCAGTCCTGCAGTGCCAGGGAGCCGTGTCTCTGGGTGTGTTGTTTGTGCAGGAGGGGTGGGGAGCCCAGGCTCCGGGATGTGGTTATCCCTCCGTCATTGTCTGTCTGCCTTGCAGTTGCTGGGTGTGGAAACAGAGGTCAGGCTCAATTTGTCTGAAATTTAAATCGCAGCTGGCCTGGGGAGCCGTGGCCGGGTCCTCACCACTCCACACTTTCCCTAGGAGCTGGGGATCTCCTCTGGCCCTGCAGTGTAAATCCGTGTGCTCTATCCCACGTGGGCAGGTGCTGGGACAGATGCCAGGCTCCCGGGGCAGCCCCGGCCCTGTGTGGGTTTGTTCCAGGTGCTCCCAGGGTGACGTTCCAGCTCTTCCCCCGGGCTCCATCCCGTCCTGCCGGGCTCGCTGCCAGCTGAGCCTGTTCTGCAGGCTGTGGGCATGACTGGCCCCAATCAGACAGGCACGTAGCAGGGAGGGAGCGCTCCCGGCATCCCGGGCCACGGGGCTTGGCTCGGAGCCACTGGAGGTGCTGAGCCTCGTCACACTAGGCAGCTGTCAGCCTCGGCTCTGCTCTGAGCTTTCCACGCAGGACAGCTCCCAGGAGGACCTGACCCCCCCTCACCTGCCGTGGTGTCCTCCTGCCCTCCCAGGAGACTGCTCCTCATCACCTGCCCTCAGGCAGCGTGGCCCGTGCCCCCTGAGGGGACCCCAGGATGCTGCTCCTGGCTCCTGGTGAAATCCAGAGCATCTCCCGGGGCTGGTGAGAGCTGCCAGGGAGGTTTTGGGGTTGGGACAGAGAGGCTGGAGCCCTGGGACCATACCTCCCCAAAACAGAGTGGGGTTGGCTGCCTGGGCTCAGGGGGCTCCTGTGCATTGTCCCAGAAGTGTGGACAATGCTGTTCCAAGGTCCTGCAGCTGTTGTGGTTTTGGAGGCACGTGGTGCTTCCCTGGGAATGAAGTGCCACCTTTGCTGAACCCCTGCATTTGCATGGCTAAAGCTTCCCGGAGGGGTTTCAAAGCCAAAGGATCCCTCCTGCCCCGGCTGGATTCTTTGTTTGCATTTGAATAGGTGCCTGGAAACTGGCACAGTCACCCGAGCCGTGGCAGCCTCCCCTCCTGCTCTGTGTCCATCCCTACCTGTGAGCCCCAGGCCTCCAGCTCCTGCTGAAACCCGACCTGAGACCAGCTGCTGGTGTTACTCACCCAGGAGAGGTGCTGGATCCAGCCTGTCACAGGTGGGATGGCCCTGGGGTTATGGTCCCCTTCCTTCTTCCCAAGATGCTCTCCCAGGACTCTGGGGACAGGCTGGGAGAACTGGGGGTGTTCATCTGGAGAGAGAAGGCTCCAGGGAGATCTTAGAGCCCTTCCAAAGGCCAAAATGGGCTCCAAGAGACCTGGAGAGGGACTTTGGACAAGGGCCTGGAGTGACAGGACAGGGGGTGAGTGGCTTCCCACTGCCAGAGGGCAGGTTAGATGGGATATTGGGAAGAAATTGTTCCCTGCGAGGGTCCTGAGGCCCTGGCACAACTGTGGCTGCCCCACCCCTGGAAATGTTCAGGCTGGGTTAAATGAGGATTGGAGCAACCTGGGATAGTGGAAGGTGTCCCTGCCCGTGGAAGGAGGGTGGAACAAGATGACCTTTAAGGCCCCTTCCAACCCAAACCATGCCATGATCTTCTCTCAATCTCTGCTAGCTTTATGGCCAGCTTGGCAGGGAA